TTGAGCATAATAATTTCTTTCTTAGTGAAAAAATAGATTTTTAGCCATATGTGAAAATAAAATTAACAAATTCAGTTAGTTTGTAAATAATTATATATGGAATGTAATTATGTAATATCTTCATATTATTTAAGTGGAGGGTGCAAATTTCTCTAAAGAAAATCCTCATTTTTTGGGCTTTTTTCATGATTTATTAAAACAAAATTATCCAACTATTTATTCCATCTTTATGCATCAAAGAGAGTTCTTACTTCTGTACTCTGCATTTTTTTCCTCATATAATGCATTTCAAACGTTTCCTCTGCTCCGCAACCGCCACCCGCCGCCGCCACCCCCACCGCCAACAGCGAGCGGTAAAGCAAGTGGAGAAATCCAACTTCTCGGAGGCTTTATCCGATATCAAAGCCCGCATAACCGATTCCGATTTCATAGCTATTTCGCTGCAGAAAACCGGCGGCCACTCGGCGCCGTGGCAGAGAACCCTTCCCATCGATACGTCGGAGACGGCTTACCTCAAGTCCAAGCGCGCTGCCGATCGGTTCCAGATTCTTCAGTTCTCGGTCTGCCCTTTCTCGGTTAGAGATACTAAGCTCATTACGCATCCGTAAGCCTCTTGGGTTTGGATTTTTCTTGGTTGATTGATGTCTGATTAGGTTTGAATCTTTCCCTACGTATGAGTAGTAGTTGGTGTAATATCCATTTTAATTCTGCTGCAGGTATAATTTCCACTTGTTCCCTAGAGACGAGTTGAAAATCGGGATGCCATCTTATAGTTTTTCGTTTCAGTCTTCATATTTGACTTCCATGGCCGGAGAAGGTTTTGATTTTAATGCCTGTATAAACAATGGTATGTTGGTTTTGTGTCAGTTCGATGATATCCTAATGATTGCTGGGTAATGGGTATATACACATTCGAAATGGAAATGTCAATAACATGATGAATAAATGAGATATCGACATTTGATTGTTGGTGTTCAACAACTACCTTCTGCTGTAGCCTTTGCCTTTCATTTCGTTCTGTTGTTTTGGAGGACCTGAATGTGTTTCATTTTCTCCCAAAAAGGTATATCTTACTTATCGCGAGCGCAAGAATCAACTGCACGAGCCCGATTTGGGCATTTGTCAAAAGTTAGCAACCCGGGGGAGCCTCGATCAGCCCATTCAGTTGCTGATTCTCTATTCATTCAAAGGATACAATCTCGAGTCAAGAGCTGGATAAAAACCTGTAAAAATTCAAACAAAACCGAGGGTAAGCAAAGTATTAAAACTCTTCCTATAATCTGNTATTTTTCTACTGTTGCTGCAGATGCTCTGATAAGTGCTTTGAGAAAAATTGTATCAGGAAGTGAGGTTTATGGTGATAGACCATCCTTAACTATAGATGTTTGCAGTGAACGTCAAGTGCAGCTTGCTTTGGATGTAAGCTTATTGCCGCTATGGTTAATTCATATATTTTTTTTTTTGGCTTTTAATATTTATTTTTTGGACTGAGCTGCAGGCATTGAAAGAGTTTTCTGATGTAATACCACTACGTCAACAAGTTCCTCTAAAAGGAGGGGGTGTGCAAGCTGTTCGAGCTGTTCTGACAAGTTCAGAAGAAGACAAGAACCTTCTGGAGGTATAATATTAATCACAGTCCTCGATTATTATTAATGGAGATGCTGACCTCTATCGTAACCATTTCATAATGCAGAAAGAAATTGAGAATAAGGAACAAGAGCAAAGGCTGCAAGTTGTTGGATTTCGAGAGGTGATAGAATTGATTTCAGCTTCTGAGAAACCTGTTGTTGCGCACAACTCACTTAATGGTCTTTCTCAACTCAATTGTTGTGTTTTTTGTTATATCAAAACTCTTGCTGTTAATTTTGTTTTTGTTTTTTTCTGAAGAAACACGTGCTTTTGTGTTTGTTATATAGATTTTACTTTTATACATTCAAAGTTCATAGCTCCACTTCCACCAACTATGGATGAGTTCACAACTACTCTGCATTCGGTCTTTCCCTACATTCTTGACCTCAATCATCTCATGAAGGAAATTGGGGCGTTTGAGAAAATGAACAACATATCAGGAGCGATTTCTTATTTGGAGAGCAGATTCTCTGCACCAATAACCATGGAGATCTCCAATCGAGGTAAAAGTTAGGATTTGTAAAATCTCATAATGTGGTGGAGAACTATATATCTAGCCAGCTTATGTCATTTTTCTTTCTCGATTGTTGGATATTTCTAATAACATAAGCACCCACATTGCTTTTATTTGCATTGTCACGAGATAATATGCTCATGTGATTCCAAGTGGTAAATCTTATGTGGCAAGCCCCTTTTTTGTAACAACTTTTACGAGGTAAGAAAATGAAGTCATTGCTTCCAGTGTTAACTACCCTAATTGATTTCATTTTCAGAGGATGCTGGCGAAGTCGATATTTATGGCCATATTGTTCTGAGAGTATGCCGTCTATTTGTGATATTGTGCTCCATATTGAAAATCTCTCTGGAGGTTCCTGAAGGCCAAAGTAGACAATTATCTCATTCTCTTCATCGCTACACGGATAAGTTATATCCATGCTCGACTAAATCTACAGAACCCGACGCTGAAAATGTGAGAATTTCGACTGGAAACAGCCGAATAGTTAGCACTGACAATATAGTATTCTTGTGGGGATTCAAAGGTGGATTATCTGCCCGAGGTTTAAAAGACCTTCTATGCGACTCACATGATGTGTTCTCTGAACATTTTGATGTCCGGATGATTTGTAGGACCTGTGCAGTAGTCGTATTCTGGACTCCTGGTTTTTCAGAGCGTTTTCTCAGAATAATGGACTCTGGAGATACTTTTTCTGGTAAGTTCAGAGATATGATATCAGTAGGTCTAAGAGCTTCGAGCTATGAGATGTATAGAAAGGTGTGCGAGTCGGGTTCATGGAAATCTGATTTAGCCGAGTGCTTAGACCAAGCCATGGATGAAACTGAAAATATTTCAGAAGCCAAATCAGAGGATAAGAAGTCAGTAATTTACTGGAATGAGGATGATATGATTAACTTTGACGACCTTTAAGATATTCATTTTTTTTCATTTTCCATGGTCTCTCCTGCATCTCAGTTCGAATTCAAAGCACTGGGTTTGAGATGCCTCATTTATAGGAGTTGATGAATTTGTTGGCCATGTAACTAGAGGACAGCTGTACCATCCGGTATGTCTACTAATTGCATCCTTGTGCTTTAGTCACATGAAAAAATAAAATTCAGTTATCTTATGAAACTATACTTATCCATTGATTACTACAATTTTCGCCTATTTAGTTGGTAATTTCTTGAACGAATACAATGAAGAAGCGGAATAAGTTCATCTTCATTGAAATGTTTGTAATCCGAAAGATCACTGATTTTCCCCTTTCTTTTATGTACTGAATCTCAGGAGCGCAATATTTGTAGTGATATCACTCAACTATTCTGGTGAAAAAGTCAGTTGACCCTCTTGGAAGATTGACCTCAGAGCATGCACGCGATGTCATGTTCAGTTTTCTTGTGTGGCTTAAATTTTAAGTGTTTTTGTCACTGGACTTGTTGAGTACCGATTATTAGGTAAGTGGGAGCAGTTGGTCCTTCCCTCATGGGCTTTTTCACCATTGGATCACACACACGTTGATATGTATTCAGCGAATAGTAAAAGAGTCCGTGTGGCATTCCCCACACGGGTAGGTAAAGGATTTTGCTGTAAATTTTGCTTTACTCAAGTTTGAAAGTGTTGCAAGTTGCAACACAGTTGCTGAGCAAAGATAATCCATGTTGGGCAACATTTCATATTATCATATAAATTATTGTTACTAGAAAATGGAATTCGATTTTCTCCAAATTTTTTAAAAGTTGAAATGAGGGTTCTCGCCAACTTCGCCCAATTTGCTGTGTTCGATTTTTTGTTTGCAATAAATTGGTGTTTTTGTTAAAGGCAAAGCAACGAACGGCGTCGTTTTCCAAAATGATGCCACGTAAGAATTGTCGTCGGACAAGTCAGCTCGAGGTTGCTGGCAAATGATTTTGAGACAAATTTGCTACACATAATAAAAGTGTAGTATTTATTCGCAAAGATAGAAAACTTGAGTTTTATATGCAATTCTATTAAAGGTGATGATTTTACCCTAAAAAGTATGATATTTCATAATATAAGTATACATATTTTATAAGAAAGTATAGTTGTTCAACTGTTGAACTGCCTAATAACAACATTTGTTTATGTGATTCATCAGAAGATATAATTAAACATGGGATTTTAACCTTTGATGACACTACTACACAAATTCGAATGAGTGTGTATTGATCCAACAGTTAAAACTCACACGGGGCATGGGTTGGATGAAATATACCCTAATATACTGTCTAACTGAATAATTATCAGCAAATATTGAGACAGCGAACATGTTATCAATCAAAATGCTTGTTTTAAATAGTGTATCCATCTTGTGTTTACTCAACTTTCCTCCTACAAATGTTGCTACATCAACATCGTTTGGATTTTGGAACAGTCATCAATGGCCCAAAATTTAACCTTCAATGCACTCACCCAAGACGAGTTACCTCAAGGAAAACGTGCTTGATATGGCCTCTGATTATGTACGCAATTTACCCAAGACAAGTTACCTCTAGGAATGATAAACCAAGCTTCTCATGGGCCAACTATAAAAAGGGAACATGCTAATGGGCTCAAAAGCCTATTGACCCATCATAACTAACTGTGCCCTAGCCCATTACTACACTATTTATTCTCGCACCCCACCCCTCCAACTTTCATCTACGTCTAACCTTTTCTGCAAGAGGACTCTACGCATTTGTCTGTATTTATTTTTTATTGAGTTTATCTCATATTTTCTTTCAATTCTGAAGGGAAAAGATAATGATCCTGACTTCCTCTAAATCCATTTTATTGAATTTATTCTATTTTTATTTCAAATCTGAAAAAAAAGAAGCAAGTTCAGCTTCTTGACTGGATCCAAGTATAAAATCACGGTCCAGCCAATTTTAGGACTCAAGCTTGCGATACTAAACTCGCCGGTAACACTCGCCTGAATCTGATCTATGACTGATTTTTCAGGCCCTTTATTTGCCGGCAAATCTTTTGTTCTCTTCTTCTTTTTTTTTTTTCCCATAAAAACGCTGTTAATTTGTTAATTTTTTACAAATTGTTTTTGCGGCAAACGCACTCTGTCCCAGAACCTTTTACGAATGTTCTGAGGCAATTTCTACGTTTGCCAGATTGAATCTGTTTTTTCTTTCCAATTTACTCGCCCATCTGATCTTAGTTTTGTGTGGTCTATTTGGGCACATGGTTGGATTACATTATTGCTATTTTATTTATTTGAATTCAAATATGAACCCTATCCTGGAGTGTTCGATAAAATCTTACACAACATATAAGGGCATTCACCAATTCTGGAACGTGTTAACAGTAATTTTTTTATATCTTATTTTAAGCAATGGCTTATTACAAAACCTAAAGTTTTTTGATACTTAAAATGATGTAGGAAGAAATTAGATAATTGAAATAAGTTACCTATAAAAAATTAGCTGTTAATTTTAGTTTAGCTCTCATTTAAGAACTTGGATAAATGATTCGACATCGAGTAACATAACCTGCTCGAGTTTGGATTGTTTAGATTTTTTAGTAAAAATAATAAATACTGAAAGAGCAGACGCTTGACTGGGTTGTGAAGAATACAATATTAACTTAATTTATTAACTAAAACATATAATTATAACTGGGAATAGGAGGATTGCTCAAGGTATTAAGGTAGTACACACTACAAAAAGAAAACATGCTCCCATACAAAATAAACAACTCACAAAACAAGCCACAAAAACAACCACAAACACACAGAGACTAACTCAAAATAAACACAAAACAAACCTAACAAACAACTATTAAATTTAAGCCATAAAATCCAAGGTTGTCAAAACCGGATTGGTCATCGAATCGGTCAAGCTACTGGTTCAATGGTTCACTGGTCTGACCAGTGGTTGAACCGGTTGGACCGTTATTTAATTTATAGATATTTTTAAATATGTATATATATATATATAATATTTCATAGATATAGTTAACTTAATTTTTAAGTTATTTAATTTAATGATATTTTAAATATATAATACTCTATAAATATTATATATAGTTGACTTATTTTTTAAAAGGTTGGTCCCACCATAGATAGATTAAGCAATAAAATGATAGTACAAAAATTGTGGTGTTACAAAAAAAAAATATTTCCTCACACTCCCACATTGGTCAATAAAATAATAGGAAATAAAGATGCGATATGGGAAAAGAAATTCTTTCCACACGCACATAAAGGGAAAAGAAATTTTCACACGTGATCTTTATAATTAAAAATTTAGAATTCTTACATCTTGTCCTACATCGGTAATCATAAAAAGTTAGTTGCTTTATAAAAGTGTTAGAATTTATACATAAAAATTATTTGACCCGATTGGCAAAAAAAAAAATAAAAATTAACTGGTTGAACCAACCTGTTTTTTGACCGATTTTGACCGGTCCGACCGGTCATTGACTGGTTTTGGCCACAGCCGGTTTCTTCCATTGAATCGGACCGGTTAGCTGGCCGGTTCCCGGTTCAACCGGTCGGACCGGCCGGTCCGGTCCGGTTTTGAAAACTATGATAAAATCACAAGCCACCATGCAACCAACCGCCAAGAGCTATCACCCAGCCCTACTATCTCCTTGCCTCTGCCTCTGGCTCTAGTCCTTGATTGTTGAGTTTTGTACAAAATTATCATATCTGAATATATATTTTATTTACACATTTTTCTTCTTCAGTTCACTCTCTCATTCAATTTCTTAGGAAAGCCTATAGAAAAATTCAAAACTTGCTGCATATTTGTTTTCAGTGTTCTTTGTTTGAACAAATTTTTCAGTTTGGATGGCTACTATCCTAATTGGAGACGGGTTAAGAAGATGCCCACCTAAGAACCCGAAACTTAGGGCAAACCCAAAACTTAAAGGCAATAAAAGAGGCTCAAAACTGAAGAAGATGATTTAAGAAGATTAGCTATCCCAATCTTGTTGTTTGTTTTTAGTTCGTAGTTGATTGGCCATTTCTTTGCTTCATATTGAAGTGTTCTTTTGTTGTAATTAGGTTTTACTTTGATCATTATTCTGTGTTAGTTCCATTTTTGTATATGAGATTGATCTAATGTTGTTTGGATTAGCCATTTGTTTGGTTCATATTAATTTGTTTCGTCTCTAGTTATAATATTGCTATCGTTTAAAATAATCTATAATCTTTAAATCATCAATGTTGATTCTCATGTTCACATAAAACTTGTCAAACTCAAGATTCAAATTCCCAACTAAAATATTTTTGTACATATAGTCATTGCTATATTACTAAAGTGTTTATAGATTGAATTATTTAAAACACACACAACAAGCACTACTCATAACAAGCACCAAGTACTCGTCTCATTATAATATTATCAAAATAAATCATTCAGACCTTGTCAATAAATAATCAAGTAAGATAATTGAAAAAAGTGAGGTGGAAAAAAAATATTCATTCCAAATATGCATAAGATACAATCATGATACATCTACAAATCATTATTCAGATGGTACCACCGACACCTTTCGATTGAAATAAGATTATTCCAATGCTATCAATTTAAGCATAATTTTAGTGTCACCCAAAATATCCTCAAAATTCATGTTGAATACCAGGATATGAAGCATGACTACAATTTTCGCTCATGAGGAGGCCCAATTTTCAAAGAGCACAAAACAAATAAATAAAAAGGCGAAATTTGTTATTAACCACAAAAGTAAGTGTATATAACCTACTAATTAGAAACTTTTTTAACCAGGTATATTTCTTTTAACGTTTTTTTTTATNTTTTTGTAATTTGTCTTGATTTATTATGTATATTGTTTGTATATTTACAATATAAAACAAATTGAAAATCGTACTCATGTACATATACTAAAAATATACAGTCGACCTTAACATATACTAAAAAACAGTATATTTGTCGGAAACATATACAGAAGATATACGGATCATATACCGTCGACATAAAAGAAAATACACAACAAGTATATACAAGATATATCAATCTTGTCATTATAAACAGAATATATACATAAGATATACAAAAAACACATCCCGTCATCCACACGCGCAATCGCCGAAGTCCATCGTCGTCTCTTCAAAAAACAACTGTAAGGTCGTGGCCGAACTGCGGCAGGCTGACGCACAGCTGCGTCGGTTCTTCCCCTCCTCGACAGCGACGGGCGTATCTCAGTCCTTGAAAATCTTCATCATGCGTATCAAAAAATTTCTGGTGTTTCTTTCGATTCCTGTATGAGCTTGAAGCGGGGCGTGTATAGAGAGAAATTGAGATGTGACGTGAAATTGAGATTTGACGTGAAGAAGAGAGAGAGAGAGATGAAGAGGAGAGAGAGAGAGAGCATATAATTAAGGGAATTTCTTATTCAAACCCACTTCTAGTATATATGCAAATAAATATACAGGAGTTGTAAATGTGCAATAATGTTGTAAATGTATAGTAGACTATGTAAATTTGTCAAAAAAAAAGGCAAATTGGCCCAGAAAAAGGGCGTCCTTTGTACTAATTACTGTTAGGCCCATATATAGCCCACACCTCAAATGTCCATTTGCGTTTTGCACAAATTGCAGCTCGAGCACAGACTGCAAAGATCCCAACGAAAACAACAATGGCGATGAAAAATTTAGCTTGTAACAAATTTCACATTCTCCAGCGTATCTTTGCAAATTCTCATACATTCAAACCCCTGCTCCCCCAATCCCGCTTCATATTTCAGAGTTCCTGGTAATGGGTTTCCTTTCATTTTTTTTACTTTTTATCCCTTTTTGGTATTTTTGCGTGTCAGTGTGTAGATTAAAATGTATAAAGAGTTAAAGTCTGCAATTTTCGTTGAAAAAATAGTAGGGTTTCGTTCAAATCAGCCCCATTTTTTTTTTTTTCAACAACTGATCGAGCATAATCTGATTTATTACAGTGATGCTTTACAGTTATGCACACATATGCAAGAATATTGGTAGGGGCGTGCCTGTTGTTGTTGGGAAGTTGTTACATAATGAAATGCAAACATATAGTCTTAGTGGTGTTGTCTGGATCCATTCGGGTCGGGTCATGAGGAGCTTGGAGCCTGTGGTAGAGCAACGTGGGAAAAGCGGTGGTGCGGATAATGGGTCGGGTCAAGCTGAGGTTAAGAAAAGGAAGAAACTGAAGGGGAAGAGGGAAGTGGTGAGGTGGCTGAAGTTTTTCAGGTATAAGAAGAAGAAAGATTACGAGAGGATGACGCCCGAAGAAAAAATCCTCTATAAATTGAATAAGGTTTGTTTGTGTGTGTGTGTGTGTGTGAATACTCCGTGTTGGTTGTGTGAATGTTCGTGTAGAGATTAAAGTGGAAGAAAAATGGATTTATGTGTTTGGATAATGGGTTGGTCTAGTTTCATGAGTTATCAGCTCTTATTTGATGTTGGGAGACTATTTTTAATGAAATATCAAAGTTTTTCGATCATATCAGTTTTTATATTGCCATGATGATCTTAGTTTTTTACTTCTAATTGGATGGAGCTTCCTCATCCAAAAGGTTACCTTGTTTTAGTTCTGTATCAACTTTGAGAGTTAAAGAACAGGAAATTTCCTCTATTTGTCTTGTATTGTATTATATGTTTCTAAACTTTAAGAAGCACCTAAGTATGGTATTTTGTTTCAATTCCACTTATATGTATATGTAAGTCTAAGACAAGAATAGAAAGGACAGTGAGTATGATACAACTTACACTACTTATCAATATATAAGCTCGGAACATCATCTTTTACCTCTTTACTTTGCTGATTAATCAGAAATGGATTAGAAATTCTTATTTTCATTTCTGAGGGATATTTTTATTTTAAATTCTTATGGGTGGTTGATTTGATTTCATGTAGGCCCGGAAGAAAGAGGAGAGACTACTCGAAGCCCTTCAGAAAATCGAGCCGAAAGATTCTTCAGAAACCACCCACGATCCAGAAATACTGACACCTGAAGAGCACTTCTACTTTCTAAAGATGGGTGAAAAGTGCAAGAATTATGTGCCCATTGGGAGACGGGGAATTTATCAAGGGGTTATACTGAACATGCACTTGCATTGGAAAAAGCACCAAACTTTGCAAGTCATAGTAAAGACATTCTCGCCTGAAGAAGTGAAGGGTATTGCCTCGGAGCTCGCGAGGCTGAGTGGTGGGATTGTGCTCGATATTCAGGAAGATAACACGATTATCATGTACAGAGGGAAAAACTACTCTCAGCCTCCTACAGAAATAATGTCTCCTCGGACAACTCTCTCGAGAAAGAAGGTTCTTTTTCGAGCTTTTCATTTTCTTATCAGCTCTCAATTAGTGATTTTAGAAAGTTATTACTGAGAGGTATTTTAGCCGGATTACGAAATGAATTTATTAGTTCAATGTTAATATTAAAGATGATCTGTTGAGGAGATGATACCCCATTGAAGGTTTGTGTTTATTGTAGAGATTTTGCAGCTACTATTCATGGGGTGTTTACCAATCGAACAAAAAAGAGTCAGCTTTGGCATTATTAAATATTCTGCAAGTGCAGCTCTTTATCTGACTCTTTGTCCCATTAAGAAAAATTAAAGGATCAAAATGTGAAATACGCGAAAAGATTGAGCTATTCTTTAATATTTAGAAAAGTTGGGGGAAATTGTAAAAACGTGTGATATGTCAGTAGTTTCTTCTGGCTCCATACATTAGTTGCAAAATGTGAGGCAGTTTTGTTCTCAAGGTGATGACTGTAATTTTCTAATCAAAATATTTCTTCAAGGGTGTATTTGTAATCTAAAGAATAACAGTCTATTTGTTATTGTCTAAACCTTTGGGTTATTTGCAATTATCCTTTGCTTAATTGTTTATCAATTTCTGTGCTCATTCTTGTTCCAATTCTAAATTTTTACAGGCTCTGGATAAATCCAAGTATAGAGATGCTTTGAGAGCTCTCAAAAAATATATTCCAAGACTCGAGCAGGACCTCGCTCTAATTCAAGCTCAAGCTGCACGTAAAAGCATCACGAGTGAAGAAAATCAATCTCTCAATGCAAGTAATAATGCTGAGTCCAACCAAATTATCGAGGAAGCTTCGAATCAAGATTTCGAGGGATCTAAGAGACTGAAAGAACTATTGGCAAAAACTTATGTGAATGCCGATCACGATTCGGATGTGGATTCTGATTTGGGTTCGGATTCTGAAGCCCTTTCGGATATTTTCGAGACGGAGTCAGAAAACGAGAGTGAGGTGAAAGAAGAAGAAAAAACACTTTACATGGACCAGTTTGAAAAGATTCTAGCGGATAGTGAAAAGGAGGAGGAAGATGATTTTGGAGAACACTTGCGCAAGATATCGGCTGATTCGAGAAGGGAGAAAGGTGATGAATATAATGATGATAAGGATGAAGAGATGGCTGATCTTGATGAGGTTGATAAGATGATTGTAAGAGCAGCTTCACTCTTGAAGAAGAAGAGGAGATGATATTTATTGCTCAGCAAAATTCATTTTCATAATCAGGTTTGCAGCAAGCAGGTGAAAATTCCCCCTTAAAAGTGTACACTAATTTGGAAGTGTACTCATTTGATATGAATGAGTGTTGTGACAGATTTTAGAAACCTTGTGTAGATGGGGCTCATGTTATCATTATTATTATTATTATTATTATTATTATTATTATTATTATTTAATTGAAGTCAACCCAGAAAATAAAGCATAAACAAAACTAACTCATGTAATTTGTGTTTACAAAAATTGGCAGGATAGATTATTGTAAAGTTGGTTTTATGTGTGAAGAAATACATTAACTTTGCGAGTACATGAGACTAATTTGATGAGATATTAAGAGAAAAAGAAACTAAAACACCTTCCACACAGGAAATCTTGTGTTCACTGTTCAGGGTTCACCATTCAATTATCCTACATAATTCAACTAACTTTACACATAAAATTCAGGGAGCAATTTCATAAAATCCCCCTTGTCATAAATTCTCGAAAAGAAGCCATATCAAGAGGCTCGACTTTGTATCGTTCGAGAATAAAGTCCCAAAACCGATAAAAAAGAGCTAAATTTTACAGAAATAACCGAAGGACCACATTAGGGGACTCTAGACTAAGCTGGTGTGGCAGCTGGCAGTTTCAGAGCTTCATTCAGAGCCTCGGCTTCGGCTTTCTTGACATTCTCAATGACGGCTAAAACTTTCTCAGACAAATGATCAGCTCGAGTCTCGATATGAGCCAGTAGATCGACTAATTTTTCCCTGTAAGCTGCGCACAGTTCTTCCTGGTGTTGCAACTCTCGGACGAGTTCTTGGATTTTGTTATCCTTGTCACGCTTCAGAAAAATTGATGATTGAACAAACCGTTATTTGGAAAAAAGCACGCATCAAATAATTACAATAATAANAATACTAATCAAACTACTAGCATTTATTCTGTTATAGTGAAAATCGTTTTATCTTTGAAAGAACACATGCAAGAAAGATTACATTATATAGCATATCCCCAAAAACATAACAAAACTGGCACAAGGCAATTAAAAAAAAATATCAATCGACAAAATGGGCTGAGAAGAAGAGCAATACCATGTTCGATAACTCATTACCATTCACGACCAAAGGATGGTTATGCTCCTTGACTAATCTCGTGACAACCCACTTCCCAGATTTCTCGAGCTTAAACAATACATTCGCCTTGCAACCCTCACGCCCGCTGGGCCTGGGCTTTTTCTCAGGCCCGATTTTGCCCTTTATGCTCGTTGAGAAGCCCTGCTTATTGCACCCGAGCCTCCGGGCCAGAGTTTTACCATCAATTTCTGAACGCCGGCTTTGCATTATACGAACCACAAACCCGATTCTCCTTGCATAGTCGTAGTAAAATCTTCGGGCGTTATCCTCCGAGTCAAATTCCATGCCCAAATGTGGTTCGAGGATTTCACTTATATTAATGTTGTCTTCATGAGTCTCATTTTCTTCCGAGTCCCACGAATCACCAGAGTTCGACTCATCTCTTTCAGATTCGCCAACGTTTAAGTCAACCACTAAATGTAAACGAAAAGGGAATTTGTGAAGATTATGGTCATGGATCTGTAAACCTCTGTCTAAATGCATCTATTAGGTAAATGAATCATTCTTGGTAATTTGTGAGGATTAAGGCCATGGATATAATATAACACCATATTTGATGAGTGCCCATGCATTTTCTTAATCAAAATCAGAAACCACAAACATAAGCTTTGATATCTGCAATCTGGGTTTTCATAATTCACTCTAGCAACTTTTTTTCTTCAACTAAAACAAAGACATTCTTCACAATGTTTTTTCAAAGATCACCCAGGTGAGAATTGAAGGTCAGCTTAACATGTCTAATGAAAAGTGAGCATAAAAGGGCAGTCATGTAATAAATAAAGCCACACACTATAAGACATAAAATTAGAGAAATTTAGGAAAACGAACACAAAAATGGGGAAAGAATGAGCTAACAGAGCCATCAGACATCGCACAAGCACAAGACACAATTTTTTTTCCTTGAAATGGGAAATCCCACGAGACTGATTAGAACTGGGGACAACCCAAATACAAAACAAAAAGAAAAAACAACAAAAAGTTCCCATCATATGCATGTACCTCAGTATAATGGATAACTGGATAATTGAACAACGAGTGAAAACAAAGAGTCTTACTTGTGGATGAGAAATGAATAATTTATAATTGGAGACTTTCTGCAGATGGCAGCAATTATCAGAGTGCAAAATTTGGTTGATTTCGGGCGATTTTCAGTTTATCCTCGGATTTTGAAGGTGACTCCGAAATATACGGCCACCGCATAAAAAAACTTCCTTATTTACAATTGTCAATTTTCATATATTTTTCACTTTAATTTCAAAATTGTTTATTTTTTATTTTGTACAATTTTTACTGAATATTTATTGAACAATTTTAGTTGTTATTAAAATTAAAAATTGAACATCTTTTTTTTTTTCCTCATCCAGTTCGGGGTGTTTGTGTGGCTTTGCGCAAAGGTTATATACGTTAAGATAAATTATGATATATTTGTTTTCATTTATAGTTAACAATGGTTAGAAAAATCTTCAACAATGTCCCATGAGAAGAAAGGTAAAGTTAATAAATAAAAATTTTAATTACAATTTAACCCACCAAACTGT